ATTACCCTCAATGGTCTTACACTTAACCTCTCAGCCCATAATGATCAAACATTGCCCGACAAGAGAGGACTTATCCCTCGACTGCAAGGTACAGTGCTGCACTCTCTAGTCACATGGATGCTAGGAATTAAAACCTTTTGCGAACATTTTGAAACCATAATATATATGTATATCTCTATATAAATATATTTTGCAAAACAAATTTCAACGGTTGAAATCAACTGCCGGCAGTTTAGGTTTCCATCAAAGAGAGTGCATCTCCGATCATTCACTTTATCTGACAAAGGGGTTGATCCTGTCACTATGATCACCCACTCAGATGAATTCTCGGACTGTCCCATCATACCTAGGTTTTGACCCCCTCTAAGGATCTCACTGATTGGCATATCAAAGACAGCCCAATCCAACACCTAGTGTAGTATCATAATCGAGTCTAGGGGTCAAGTGTAACATTCCAGTTTTGCCCATCTATCTCCAAGGTTTAGGGTAATACTGGAATTCTGGTCCGGTTCAGGGTTTCAAGAAAACCCACACTGCATGTACCTCAGGACTCACCTTGGCAGCTGAGACAAGCCACCCCAACCAACTTGGCGGCACATCAGTGTCAGCCTTGGCAAGATAAATCTCCCCAGATCTATCCAATGGTTGTGAAGATTCTAAACTAACACGAGTCTCATATGTGTCCAGTTTAAGGGTATTACATAGAAACACATCATAATAACATGAATCAAATATGTACTTTATTCATTTACAATAAATGCCATACTTTATTCATTTACAATAAATGTCATAATGTACATCATTCTGATTGGAGCTAAGAGCATACACTGTCTAACAAGTACCACATCCGTGTTGTGCCCCGAAAGGTGGTCGGGAAGGCCATTCAAAGGCTCGCATCGTTGGCCTCGTGTAGTTGCATTAAGGCCTAGAAGCTATCAAAGTGGTCAACCGGGTTGGTGGTTCCATCGTAGGACTCCAGGCTAGGGGCTTTGAAATCCTAGGCCGAGGGGCCATGAGGATTTCTGCGGCTAGTGGCGAGGTGCGAGTCACCGACTGCACTGATGAGGTGGCGATCCATCTCACCCTTTTCTTGTCTTCTTCCTTCTTGTCCACCTCCTCGTTGTCGCTCGGAGCGATGCGGCTCTTCCCCACATTAAGTTTTATAACGCCTCCTTTGGGACCCCTCAATGGAGCTGGTGGGCTTGGATGCCACAACTCGTGTTGATTCCATGACAGGAACCTGATTATGGTCATCGTGGTGGTGAGGTGGGTCCAGTTGCTGATTATGGTATCCGAGCTGCTGATTCTGATGGACGTTCTGCCCGACGATCTACTGTTATTTGTGTTGTTGTTGTTGTTGTTGCTACTATTGCTACATCCTTGCTAATGCAACAAAACAGCCTTCCCACGTTCTCATTTGTAGGTCAATCCCGTGAACAAATTGCACTAGCTTGTTGAACCGGTGACCATCAATTCTGATGGGAACCACAGAGGACTCGATTGGTGGAAGAGGCGTGTTCACGGTGGGTAGAGGGTGGTTAGGGTTTTGCATCATAGGGACACCAGGTAAGGTCAGGGGAAGAGTGAACTGCCCCCTATAGACGATAGTGACAGAGGGGACGCCAATATGCATGGCGTGCTAGTCTTGCCCCCCTATGATTGTTCCGTCAGCATGTACGTTGTTGGAAGATGCCATTGAACTTGTGATTAAATAGAGAGTGTGGGAATACGACTTTTGTGTAGCGTTCCCATAGAGGGTGCCAATTGATGGTGTGCGATCTGATGCTCCCTGTTGGCAAATAGCTCGGATGCCGGACTGAGTAGGTCATTTGGTCGAGTTGCAAGAAAGTGATTATCAGAGTGTCTGTAAGAAAGCAAGAGGGCTAGAGAATTGTGAGAGTTAAATCACGCGTCCCTTGTGAGGTTGAAGGTGAGGCCCTTATATAGGCGAGTTGCTGTGAGCCTCACAAAACGCGTATGAGATCTCTAGCTTGTCTGGTTCAAAGGTGGTTTCACGCCTGGAGGTGGACTCCGCGTAAGCGGATAACGTTTATCCAATCCCGCCTAAAGCAGGCGAGGTGATAATCGGCTCTTCTAACGTGGTGTCGTGATCCCAAGGAATTCAAAGGTGATAGCCCACTTAAGGGGGAGGTCGCTCGACACATTCGGCATGTCGCTAACCGAAGTCGGGTCAGAAGGGTGGAAGCAGGTTGCCTTTTATGCCAACCTGAGGCCTTGCTTGGCTGTTCGCAGTTCAGCCTACCGTAGTGGTGCTGAGGTCATCAGGGTGGTTGTGAAGTGTCCAAAGTGCTCATGGGGTCTGCTTACGTGGTGCCGAGATGTCACTCTACTGTTCTACAATGTCACTTGTCGTGATATCATTGGAGGACCAAATTACCCCTCATCAATACTATTTGTTTTTAAAACAATCATAGATGTCATGGATCCATTTGACTTTGATTCTTGAAGGACATAATTGATCTATTTTTCTTCTTTGCCTGGATTTTCATGTCTTGGCTTTTGGCTTTGTGAGATGAGAAGCACATGAAAAGCCTATAAATAATGTTTAGTAAAAATCTGAAAAGTTAATTTTGATGGTCATTAAGGCTCGGTTTGGAAGGAGTACAAATGCAAATTTGTAGAGTGCAAAACCTTGTATTTTGTATTATTTTGTATGTATTTGCACTGTACATATTTGTATTTGTACTCCTTTCATACTGAACCTAAGGCTCAATTTGGATGGAGTACAAATACAAAAATGTAATTTACAAATACATACAAAATAATATAAAATAGAAGGTTTTGCGCCTTACATATTTATATCTGTACTTCTTTCAAATGGAGCATAAGGCTCGGTTTAGAAGAAGTACAAATAAAAATATATCGAGTGCAAAACCTTATATTTTGGATTATTTTATATGTATTGACACTCTACATATTTACATTTGTACTCCTTCCAAACTCAGCATAAGGCTCAAAAGGGTAGAAATATAAATATGCGCAAATATTATACTCTATATATTTGAATTTATACTCCTTCCAGACTGAACCTAAACCTTTCCAAATGGATCCCGAAACACGAAGTGTGTGACCGGACGTTTGAAAGTCCGAAACCCAGTCGAACATCCAATCTAATTATTTTCAGATTCAGATGATATGCTTGCATAATTGAAGTGGATTCGGGTTTATAATATGCATCTGATTAATATTCGAGTTCAGTTGCAAATCTAATCCCAAATGTCATTTAATATTTATATAAATTTATTATACATGTGAAAAGTATTAATTTTTTATAACAATTTTTGTTATCTTAACGAAATATAGAGTGGGCTTTGATTAAATTAGAATCTGATTCAAGATCCCTATATTCGATTGGATCCAAATTTCAATGTTCAATAATCAAACCAAATCATATTTGGATGTGGTTGGGTCCCATGATCCCATTTGAATCTCCAATTACAGCCCTACTTATGATATATTTATGCATGTATACAGGTAGGATTCGATTATGATGAGACTTGGAATCCAAATAATTTATAACAAATCAATTGGTATCACCAAAAGCAGTAACCAATTGTGTGGTATTCACGAGGGGGTTGATTGGTTAAGCCACTTTTAGTATCATAGCTCTCTAACATCATAGATTTATCCATGTTAATACATCAAATCAGATTTATATGTGGCTAGGTTCCCTTAGAATCCCAACCAAATTATTGACCTACTTACGATATTTTGATTTAAAGTTATTCTAGTGTCATGCCCTTTTGGTGTCATAGAAATTGCTATATATAGAGAGAGAGAGAGATTGGCTTCGGCTGGGGCAAGCCCATGCTCACACCATTCCAATGGCCTCTTGCAAACTTGCATTAGGAATATTTCTCCATGAAATAAAGCATACGAGTAGGGAGATATTCCTAATGCAGGACTGTAAAGGCTGTTCGTACGGGCATTGCCCTGATGAAAGCCGAACTCATAGTACAACAAGTGTCTCATAAAAATACTGATGGCCAATCAATTGGTATCATCCAATTGTAAGGCTGTAAATGGTATCCGATTGTTTGAACTTAATTCCATTAAGGATGATCTGAATTCAATCTGTTTATGATGGGATCAAATATGGATTCACCACTATCTGATTTTAATTTAAATACACATGTTCATACATACAGAAGATTTATATTGTAATTTGTATCTATTAGTAAATTTGATTTGAACGTTGTGTTTTTACTAAATTTTCATAGGTTCAAGTTTCATATGAATAATTTTTAATTAATTTTGTTGATAAAATATAATATTAAAGTTATTCTTTGTTTATTTTTATTAATATTTTAATTATTTTTAATTCAAATTATTTATACTATTCAATACAAGCTCCTACACACGTCTGCCCACGTAATACTATAATTGTACATTGAGAACATCTTCACTATTTACATGTTACTATTTATATACAACTGCAGTGTCAATACCCGAAGTCTTCAATACACGATTGCAATTCAAATTTAATTCGAATCCAGCATAAATCCAATGGCTAAAATTCGATTTGAATATAAATGAATCAAATTTGAATGTATTTATATAACCAACCGATTCGACTCGTTTGCAGCTCAAAATGCTAACCTGGGCTACTCCCGTTGTGTAGCCCATGAAGCCGAAAAAAAGTAAAAAATCATAATTGGTTTACCGATATGTTCAGAACTTCAAAAGGTTAGAATCCACGTGTCGTGTTAATAAAAAGCAAGACTCAACGACGGCGGTAACCGTTAACAAGGAAAGGTAGGAAAAATATTAATTTAGGGCAATTTTTATGATGCCGGAACGGTATAATACCGGAAGAACTTTAGTGAAAAGCAGATGATTGGTTACCATATTATGATACCGCTACCGGTTGATTAGTTATCAGTTTTCCACGTATCGTGCCTTTCCGGTATCATAGTTGGAATCTAGAGTTTCACCATATTCTCCATTGAATAACGCCTTCAGGGATCTAGGGCCATCCACCTACGATCCAACGGCTCAGAATGCCTTTATTCGTGCTTATCGTCGACGCGTCGCAGTAGTTAGTTCTCTCCAACGCCATCGTTTCAGAAAATTCTCACGTCCTCCTCCTATCTCTTATTCCTCGTTCGGCCTTTTTTTTTCTTTTTTTAATTTCAGCGGAATCTCGATCAACTCTTCTAAATTATCACTTGGTTTTGCTCTGTCCGGTAATTTACAGGCATTTAATGAATTATATGTTGGATTTTTTTCTTTTTTAAATCGTAGCAGAGGCATGCTTTTTGAGGATTTGGATGTTTAAATAGCAACCAGCCGTGTCAATAACTGTTTAATTGTTATCAAATTTCAATCATTTGAGCCTTTTTTTTTCAAAAATTAGTTGAAATCTAAGAATTACAGGACTTTGATTCAATCTCGTGCTGGTTTGTTCTGTTTTTACTGATGTCGTGGTTGTTTTTGTTTTTTGAAGGATCGTTTGAGTAATCTGGATGTTGCCGTTAGAATTGATGTGAAAATTTACGTAAGGGTGTGGAATTTGGCCCTTTAGGTTCGTTTGCTATTTCTGATATTAGGGTTTCTTTATTTTATTATATCTGCTTATTTTCTTTTCTTTTTTCTCCCATCATATTGGCTTGTAATTGTGTGGATTTGTATTTGTATTTGGTAGATTAGGGTTTTGGAGATGGTCACAGAGAGTCCATTAAAGATGTTCTCGAATCTAGATGCGCGGCCAACACTTGGTGAAGGTCTTAGAGGATCAAATGGTAATCTAGAAGATAGTTTAGGGAAGGAGCTTGAGTTTTTGCTGCGAGAGCAACGCGGTAGAGATGTCATTGATCGAGAGAGGGACCTCAATATTTACAGGAGCGGCAGCGCTCCTCCGACGGTTGAGGGATCTTTAAGTGCAATAGGCGGCCTTTTTAGTGATTTCGGTGCTGACCTTTCTGGGATTAATCGGAACTCCAATACCAACGGAGTTTTGTCAGATGAAGAGCTTCGTTCACATCCGGCATATCTGTCTTACTACTATTCCCATGACAATATCAATCCTAGACTTCCTCCTCCTCTGTTGTCGAAGGAGGATTGGCGTGTTGCACAGAGGTTTCAAGCTGGCACATCGTCGTTTGGAGGAATTGGAGATCGAAGGAAGAAGGGTTTGGTTGATGAAGGCGAGAGCAAGTCATTATTCTCTTTGCAGCCAGGTCTTCCGGTACAGAAGGGTGAAGGGGATTTCATTGAGCCGAAGAAGGTCACTCCAAGGAACCTCGCTAGACAACCTTCCGCGGAATGGCTTGAAAGAGGCGCCGATGGCCTTATTGGATTGGCGGGTGTGGGGTTGGGTGCGAGGAGGAAGAGCCTTGCTGACATGCTTCAGGTGCTTAATGTATTCTGAAACTTGTTGTTTTCATACTTAAGGCTCTGTATTTTGTGCGTTCAACACTTGTTCTTTTTCTCTTTGGTTCCGTTTTTTGTTGTTAAATTTACAAACACTTTAGCATTCATTATATATTTTTCCTTGGTAGGAGGGGAGATAGGCATTTTATTTTTTAATGTTGTCTGCTGTTGGTTTATAAGAATTTTTGATAATTCATTCCATAATATTGTTGGCAGTGCCTGATTGATGTGGTCTTTTTTGTTTTGTATTACTAGTTGATTACAGAAGTTAATTTAAAACATTATTTTTAGTGTTTATGGTAGAATGCAACTTTGGTCGTATATTATACACTTCTTTTGGTAAACGATATATTATACATTGTTGCATGATGCATGGTTCTCCAGAGGCATAGAAAAGTTTGCACAATGCTTGGTGCGCCAGAGGTGCAGGCACCTTGTAGACCTCCACAGTCTAGGTGTGTTTGCAAAGTAAACAATGGGAACTTAGTAGAGGGCTAATAGTGTTTTTTTGGTGGTGTGATATGAGAGCCTGAAAGTATTTTCAGATGTTGGAGGATAGGTAGGAGGATCAACAAAGGGTATCTGACCCTGTTGAGGAGGAAGGAGATATCTGCATTGAATCTCTTATTGGTGTAGATGAAAGTTTTAGTATTGTCGCGTATACTCATATTGGGAATGGGATACTTGGCTGTTTTAGAAAAAGAATGAAAGTAGGAAGGGAACATCCGGAGGAAGAGAGAGTGGCCAAAAAGGGTGAACATTTCCCCCAAGTGGAAATGCAGGAGGTGGTGGTGCGAGTGAGGGTAAAGGATTGGCTTTGCTTTTTTTCTTTTGCTTGTGGGATTTCACATGTATTACCAGGGGAACTTGCTTGTGGTTGTTGAGCTCTTGGGTTATCTCTAGTAAGGGAGGTCTGGTTTTAGATGCCACCACAAATTCAGAGTGGGATGTTTTCAATTTTAGGCTTCTTTTGTATATTTGAATTGTTACTTATAGCAGCCTCTAGTCAGTTCAGCATTCAGGTTGGTGCCCCCCCCCTCTTCGCTTCCTCTTTTGTGGAGGAGATATCCTGTATGCTTCTTACTTTTTTTATTAATATATAATATAGTAAGTGTTACTAATCAAGAGGAAAAACCTCTACAGTTTCTACTTAATGCTGAGATGTGTGGTGGGGTTTTCTTTGGTTCATTCTTTTCTTATTTTCTAGTACTGTATCCCTCTGGTTAATTCTACAGTCCACATTAAATGTACTTCCACTATGTTGGTTGTTTGCACTTCCAAATTATTTGGTAGAACGAGATGTCTATATCGGTTTTACCTCCTATCCTTTTAAGGGTCCGTCAGCCTGGATGATTGTTACAATGTCACAACATGCAACTGGTCAAAAAAAAAAAAAACTGCTACATACATGCTAATCTTTGCAAATTCATTATTGTTTAGATCTTTTTTACTGTTAGTTAGTTTGAGTAGATGTTCAATTATGTTTTTTCCTAACCAAGGTTGTGTTTGGTACCATTGCCATTTGATGTCAAAACGCCAACTCAGGTATTTTCACATAAAACTTATTTGTTGGTACTTATGCTGACTAGGCATTGAAAAACTGTTTTGAGTAGTATTTTGATATCCAATGATCAAATTAAAGATAAATGTTTTTGGATGATTTTTTTTTATTGATTAACATCTAGATGCAGATCTAATGGTTCTAGAAGCATAGAACCCAAAAAAAAAGAACCTTTGTTTTGGAGGTAGGGTTTATGAGCATTCAATGGTGTATATCCATAATCCATCTTTGCTAGTATGTGATGCACCATAATGTATCTCTACACAGTCACATAGGATGCCAACTAAGAGCCAGGTCATTGAACTGTTTCTTCAAATGGGCAACTGATAGAGGAAACACCAATTTGACGTTTCCCCAACACCCCTGGTTTACTTTTCTAGCAGAAATGTTTTATGATTGTTTTAACTCAAACAGTCTCAACGAAACAGAAAATTGATGTTTGAACTCAAAACGCCTAGGTGATGCTGATGTGGCAGCATTTTAAGTAGAAACAGCCATGGTACTAAACATCACCCAGATGGTCAGAGTGCTAGCTTTTAATTTCATAAATGTCTTTCACTCAGTGGCACCGACATCCATTTTCTGGTTCCATGCATTTAGAAAATGTTTTTCTACCTTGGATAACTCACTAGCTGACAAAAATGCATTATTTCAAGGGTTGTAGAAACAATTTGATTTATTTGTCCCTTCGAGTTTTTTTTTTTTTTATTGGAAACGGTAACTTCATTAAAAATTTAAAACTATGACAAGGTACATCTGTCAACTCCTAAAATGAAGTTGACCCAAGTTACATATTCATTACAGCACTGCCCAAAAACATGTTCACCCTTAAAGTCCCTTGTTTTGCTAAGGTATCCACTAGCCCGTTAGCTGACTTTCTTGTCCACTTAAAGCACACACAAATCTCCCTCGTTATATTGATTATTTCCCTTATCATCTGTCTATATTTCCATGCTCCCAAACAACCTGACTGCATTCACCCCATTAACAGCTTAGAGTCCCCTTCAATCTCCATTTGATGTAGTCCCAAATGTTTGGTATATCTTACACCTTGAAGTAAAGCCATCGTCTCTGCTCTTAACGAATCTCCTTCTCCTATTGGCCCCAAAAAATGGCAATAATCCTGCCTTCCCCATCTCTAAATACTCCCCCTATACCCGACGGGCCCAGATTACCCATAGAGCTGCCATCAAAGTTCAACTATGTTTTTTGGGAAGTTGGTGGGGCCCACATTTCCTGTACCACAGGCTTTAGGGATGTAGTACCTGCCACCACACTCCATCTTTTGTAAATGTCATCAGCTGAGAAGTCCTTAAACAGCTCACTTGTTTTCAACCAGTGAATAACCTTAATAGTTATTCCTTCTACAATCTCCTCCTTGGATCTTTTAGTATTCTTAAAGATCCTATTATTTCTTTCTTCCCAAATTGACCAAAGAACAACTGCTCTTGTAGCTCTCCACATGCTTCTACCCCGCTTCTTCGGTTGCCTGTAAAAGTTTGGGTCAAAAAGGCTTACCACATCCGGGGGAGGGGTCCACTTGCAACCAAAGAGAGAAGAGAAGCAAGACCAAATAAAAGACACAAAAGGACAAGATATTAAAAGGTGTGTGATTGTCTAACCAGAACCCAAGTAGAGGCTACAAACATGGGGTGAAAGGCAAAAGTTTGGCCTTTTTCTTTGCAACAACTCCAGAGTATTGATTTTTTGGAGTGCAACCTCCCAGCAAAAAGCCCGGATTTTTGGAGGTATGACTACACCAAACCTGCTTTGTTGGAAAATTCCCTGCAAGGTTAGAGGACTGAAGGACATTATAAAAAGAAGCAAAAGTGAAGATACCAGAGGGGGAGGGTTTCCAAATTCTGCTATCCAAACAAGACTGGTCCAAATAAACCAACCCTAAGAGAGCAACAAGTTCATCCACCATCTCCATTTCCGACTCCCTTAACCCTCTCCTCAATCCCAAATCCTACGAATTATTAATGAAAACGGAAGAAATTACTATTTCTTTGTTGCCTGAAAGGGAGTAAAGGGTAGGGAACTGAAGTAGCAGTATTTTGGTTCAAACTTTTACAGTATTTCTTTCTTTCTACCCCATTCTTTCTTTACATGCATCAATACCCTGCTTCTGCTCTGTAACAGTATTCTTAAAGATCCTATTATTGAATGTATTGATGCATGTAAAGGTTTTCTGTGTTAATGTGGTTCAGAAAGCATTATGTGCAGCAAAACCACTTAAAGTAGTTTTGGAGTTTTAGATTTTTCATTTATCCTTAATGATTTTGTATGTGGTAATTTTAAATCAACTTCATCGCCAGGAAGGACTAAGTAGACCTAATGTATTGATGCATGCAAGTTTTTCTATGTTATTGCTGTTCAGAAAGCATGATGTGCAGTACCTGCAAAACCACTTAGGGGGTGTTTGGTACAGTGGTGTTGTGTTGCTGTTGCATACTTGCATTTTGGGTTGATCAATACAAATTTGTGAGAAATATGTATGAGTGCCATTTTCAACCAGAAAAATGCATGTGTGAGAAACATCAAATTTGACATTTTAGATAGAAATAACAGTTTGTTTTGATCAACTCAAAATGTTCTCAAAATATTTCAAGAAGAAAAATCTCTATCTCACAAATTTGTATTGATCAACCCAAAATGCAACAGCAACACAATGCCACTGTACCAAACACCTCCTTAAAGTAGATGTTTTGGAGGTTTAGATTTTGCATTTCTCTGTAATAACTTTGTTTGTGCTAATGTTAAATCAATTTCATTGCAGGAAGGACTAAGTAGGCCTAATTCTGTGTCTAGTAATCTTTCACGCCCTGTGAGCCGTAATGCTTTGGATGATACTGTGGATCCAATGGGCATGTCAAATCCCCAATTGGCACAGTTACGTAATGGAGTGGAATTTGTAGATGGCTTACACTCTGGAGCAACTTCCCCTGGTTTGGGTAGAGTTCAGAGCTTTGGTTCATCTCTTTCTCAGTCTTTTGCCTCTGCTCTGGGCTCTTCTCTGTCACGAAGTACAACCCCTGATGCTCAGCTGGTTGGGAGGTTGCCTGGTCCTGGTCTCCCCCCTGTAGGGGGTAAGAAAAATATTGTTGGTTCAAATGCCTCAAATGGTCTTCTCTCTGCTGGTGGTGATCGTGCTGATATTGCAGCTGCATTTTCTGGCTTAAACCTATCAACGAATAGACTTCTAGATGAAGATAGTTGTGTACAGCCACAGCTACAACAAGAGTTTGATAGTAAGACTGGTTTCCGGTATGATATGCCGAATGGTCTTAATCAAGGCCTAAAGCATCAATTCATGGACAAATCTGAGGCTGAAACACTAGCTCTTCCTACCATGTACAAAGATCTAGCAAAGAATGCAACTGTAACTGACCCTAATGTTTCTAAGATGGGTTTTAATGGACACGACAACTTGCCAAAAAGAACATTCTCTTCTGCTAGTTTGCACACAAATTTGCATTCTTCAGGATCTGCAAGCATAGAAGGATCCAGTGTTCATTATCAGAATAAAGATTTGCCCAATAATGATTTTGTTGGATATATCCCTCATGGCTATTCCATCAGTCAAAGGATGAACTCAGTGACGAACAATCATTTTGATGCAGGTAATTTGTTTCTTTCTTGATAATTTCTTTAGCTTTCTTTCTTTCATTGATAGCTTTGTTTCATACAGGATCTTGGTTGAATAACATATTCCTGATATGTGTTTTGGATCCAGGTGCACCTTTAGCTGGAGACATAGAAGGACCAAGTCTGAATAGAAGTAGGAATCAACTAGGATCTGGCAATCAGTTGCCAGCCATGGACCCACTCTACTTACAATACTTGCAAAGAACTACTGATCTTGCAGCACAAACTGCAAGTGCATTGAATGATGCTTCTTTGGGAAGGAATTTCTTGGGCACTTCTCAGGCAGACTTGCTTGGGTTTCAGAAAGCATATCTTGAGGCACTGATTGCTCAACAGAAACAACAGTATGGCATTCCATTCTTGGGTAAATCTGATGGTTTAAATCATGGGTACTATGGGAATCCTGGGTTTGGTCTTGGGTTGCCATATCCAGGAAATCCATTGGTTGGTGTTGGACTTAGTTCACTTGGAGCCGGAAGTCCTATCCGGCAGAATGAGCGTATGTCACGTTTGCCCTCCATGACAAGAAGTTCAGTAGGGGGGTCTATAGGATCTTGGCATTCAGATGATAGTAGAAATGCGGAGGAAAGTTCTGCATCATCCCTCTTGGAAGAGTTTAAGAACAACAAGACCAGGTCTTTTGAACTTTCAGAAATTGTTGGTCATGTTGTTGAATTCAGGTATGAATTGATGATTCTTTATTGGTGATTTACTATTCTCATGTTTCTGTGAGAATGTAGTGTTGATTTACTATTCTTTATTGGTGATAGTAGAAATGTGAACTGATTCATCTTTTTCTTTCAATGTAGTGCTGATCAGTATGGTAGCCGCTTTATTCAGCAGAAACTAGAAACTGCTTCAGAGGAAGAAAAGAACAAGATATTTCCAGAGATCATTCCTCAAGCTCGCAACTTGATGACGGATGTCTTTGGAAATTATGTCATACAGAAGGTATATAATTTGTCATGTGTGAAATCAATCATATTTGCTACCAAACAATTCAACTTGTCTCTTACGTTGTTTTGTTTGAAATTGCAGTTTTTTGAACATGGTACAGAGAGTCAGAGAAAAGAGTTAGCTAGTCAGCTTACTGGTCATGTTTTGCCTCTTAGTCTTCAAATGTATGGATGTAGGGTGATTCAGAAGGTACTTCTTTAAGCTTTGGCTTTCTTTATATGCTTTCACATTTTACCTGAAGTCGCTGTCTTTGCTCCACAATCTGCTTTCTTGAAGTTTACACAATCTTCATATCAAAACATTATCTTGTATTTTGGGAACTCTGTGCTACAGTATCTGTATTTGTAGCGATTTGTTGCCAATCTTTAACTTTCTTCTACTGTTACAGTATTGTTTCTTTTGAAAATCAGTAATAATGTTGCACTGATTTTCCATGATCATCATCTATGCTGTGTCCCAAGTATATGGGGTTGGCTGCATGAATCCTGTTTGACCGTTCTGTTCTGTTCAATGGCATATCCATTGTTAAATTATTAGCCTTTCCTACTACAGGTCACTTCTTACTGTTTCTGTTAATGATGTTCTTTGCATGTGATCAAACCATCTTACTCTCCCTCATTTTATCACCTATGGAGTTATTTTTGGGTTTGTTTGAATAAGTTCATTTTTTAGTTTTCCTACTCATCCAGATCAATATTTGCATTTCTGCCACATCTACTTTTTGAACATGTTACTTTTCTGATGCCTAACATATTTTTTTTGATCAGTAACGAAAGAGCCAGAATAAGACCCGATCAATAAAGAAGCCCAAAACAAATGCTCCTTCAAGACCCCTTGTTTGGCAAGTGAGTCAGCCATCCCATTTGCAGATCTGTTAATCCATCTAAAAGATGCCTTTACTCCCTTGCTAACACCCTAATCTCTCTCAAAATCTGCCTGTATGTCCAGATCCCTTGGCTATTATTATTTGTCCATCCCACCACCAACATGGAATCCCCTTCAACCTCCACATGCCTTAAATTTAGTTGCTTGGAGGCTTGGCCAGTCTTAATTCTTGCAGTATAGCTGGGATTTCTGCTCGAAGAGAGTCTCCATATCCTATAAGGCTTGAGAAAAGAGCCACCACCGTCCCATGTTCATCCATAGAGACTCCCCCAATGCTTGAAGGTCCTGGATTGCCAAGTGAGCTGCCATCAAAACTCATCTTGATTCTGTTGCTTCTTGAGGGAACCCATGGCTCTTGAATCCTAGTCTTCAAAATGGAAGAGGCTGCCACGTGCCACCACTCCCCATCTTCTCACCATGTCATCCACTGCCAACATTTTGCTCCATACAACATTGTTGGCTTTACAACTGTTTATAAAATTTTTCTTTTAGCTTAAGTAGTATATTCTCCTATGACATAAGACTACATATGTGCCATTCCATTTTTACCATCCTGCTCTAATTCTATAGGCAACACCTTCCTCAATCCCTTGTTATGGATTATAGAACCAAAGTAACACGAAGTTATATTGAGTTATCTATTGGTCTTCAATTGTAAGTATACCATAATTTCTTCTCCTATTATTATTATTATTATTAAATTTACAATGCATATATTCTATACTATTCCTACTTAATTTAAATTCTCTTGTTTTTGAGGTACTTCTCCATTAATGTAACTTTACATTTAACCATGTATGGTTCACTGCTTTAGGCCTCATTCTTTTAATTCTTTCTCATTCAGGTCAAGAATGAGCAGGAATGAATAACATTAGTGTTTGGTTACAAAATTCTTGCCATGGGCCACATTCTTTTTAGAATGGAAAATCAGCCCATAGCACAAAAAATGAGGTAGCTTGTAGCATGAAAAATAACCATGCCCCATCTTGCTTATTTTCATTCTGAGGAAACTCTGCCTACAAAACTGCTACCATAGATGTTTACTAGCGGACTACCGTGGAAACTCACCTCGACAGACATTGGCCGCTGGTAAGGGTGTCAATGGACCGGTTTTGGATTGGATCCAATCCGATCCAAACCTTATCAAATTGGATTTGGGCGGTCCGTTATAATTATTGAATTGGGCCAATCGAAAATAAATTGGTCCATATTCTTATCGGTTTGAATCGGACCTAAACCAAATTCCCAATAATCCGATCATGAGGCCAAATCCTTGTCCAATTTGAAACCGGTCAAAATTGAAGCTGGCATAAAAGCACTTTTATGAAAGTACTTTTATGGAAGTACTTTTATGAAAGCACTTTTATAAAAGTAATTTTATGAAAAGTACTTTTACGAAAGTATATTTTTACAAAAGTACTTTTATGAAAGCACTATTATAAAAGTAATTTTTTGGAAAGTACTTTTATGAAAGCACTTCAATAAAAGTACTTTTACGAAAGTACTTTGTATAAAAGCACTTTTATTCATTCACTAGTTAGTTCACTAGTTATCAATTTACATTGATTCCATAATGTAAATTTAACATTATGATTCCCCGTACTTAGTATGGGGTCATTCACCAGTTAGTTCAGAAAATTGCATACTTGAATTTTAAAATAAATTAAATGTTTTAAAAAGTCTATTGGCTCACATTGAAATACATAAACATAACATATAAAACATATTCTGAGTGAAAATGTAGAAATGAAATCAAACATAACATGTATAAATATTCAAGCACTCAATGGTTGAATATGTGAAACCTTTAATCTGTTTATTTCTCTCCCAATTGCATTACTTTAGGTAGGTAATGTAATGTTAAACATCTTGCATTCTTAATTTTATGATTGTGGTTTTGGATAGGACCATAGATATGGGTATGGGCTTGGGCTTGGGCATGCATGTAATGCCAGTTGGCCCTTTACTTCTTTTTTAGACCTGCAGCCTTTTGACTCCATTGGCTGCTAATTTCAGTGATGGTGGATAAAATCTTTATGTCAGACATTACTGCCAATGGTTTCAAGTATTCTACAGAGTTGCATTTGATATTCTCTTTATGTGATTTACTAATAAAAATCCATTTCCTGCAAGTTCATAGTGTTCTTCTGTTTTCGCTTTGCATATGTTGTTTAAGTGCTGGTATAATTTTACAGGCATTAGAGGTGGTTGATGTGGATCAACAGACTCAGATGGTGCAAGAACTTGATGGTTCAGTCATGAAATGTGTCCGTGATCAAAATGGTAACCATGTTATTCAGAAGTGTATTGAATGTGTCCCTCAAGATAGGATTCAGTTTATTATCTCAGCCTTCTATGGACAAGTTGTGTCACTCTCTACCCATCCATATGGTTGTCGTGTCATTCAGGTATAATGTCATATACATTTCCCATTCTTTTAAAGTAGATCTTTTTATTTCATTCTCTGAAGATATTCCCTTTGTGCTTGTAGAGGGTCCTTGAGCACTGTGATGATGCTGATACACAACGGATCATCATGGAAGAAATCCTGCAATCTGTTTGTACACTGGCACAAGATCAATATGGGAATTATGTTGTTCAGGTCTGTATATTTCTTACCAAACTTTATGCTTTTCATGGGTATACTGGAATAGCTTTGACCAATTGATGAATACTAGTTGATTAGTTACCATGACACCAGTCGGTTGAGTTATAAGTTTGTTTGGCATCATGTTCTGGTATCATGGTTGAACCTACTTTTTCATGTTCACTGGTCAATGGGACTTTAAGCAATGGAGAAGTTAAATTTGATGCTCTGGTTGACTTTTACATGTTTTTTAAAACTCTTTGTTCATAATCTGTCATGTTGGTGACTTGGTGTGTTAGCTCAATTTCTCTCCCTTGAATAATGTCAAATTATTAGGCTGTAAACTATATCTAAATGGGCAGCCCATGCAAGAGGCTCCTGCCAACGTGGGGTCTGGGGAGGAAGATGTACACAGCCTTACCCATGATACGCAGAGAGGCTGTTTCCAAGATTTGAACCCTGGTCACATGGGTCTTAGTGGAGCAACCTAACCATTACACTGAGGCCCACTCTCATGCATGGTTCAAAGTATTGATACACCTCTTTGTATCAGCAGAGGTGTATCGGTACTTTAACTGATGCACCTTTTTTTTTCAATTTCATTTTTAAGTATAATTGTATATATTATTTAATAAAAAAAGGAGTTCCTGAAAACACATATAAACAGGTGTGTCGGCACCCAAAGATGCAACATCCTGTATCAGACGTATTGTTCCACTACTTTTTGTAATTGGATCGATATGTAATATGGATCAACCCCTATCTGACCGGATCTGGTCCAATTTAAATGCATATGCTTAAAATTTATTTATTTATCAGTGAAGTTGGTTTGAATATTGTCTTTTTCCTAAATTCACTTCTCAATAATTGAATATTGTCTTTTTCCTAAATCCACTACTTTTCTTTGAAGCTTATATAGGTCTAGTGCCAAGGGGATCCATAGTTTCTGTTTCTCCAGAATGAATAGAATGCAAATGTTCAAAGGTTGGAGAGTGGGAAGGAACATTGTCATGGTCACTCACAGTTTACGAATGGTATTATCATTTTTAGGGACAGTGATAATGATTTGGGGCTGAATAGCTTGAGAATGGTGGTTGAGCTTTTTGAAAAACTCTTAAATTTGAAGGTAAATTTGGAGGAAAAGTGCGGTAGTGAGAGTAATCATGGAGAAGGAAGAAATTGACTTAATTGATGAATTCTTGGGGTGTGTTCAACGTCTTGGCCAATGAATTGTTTAGCCTCCCTTTAGGTGCCAATCCTTGGTCTAATATGTTTTGGGAAGCGGTGTTGGAAAGGTTTGCTAAGAGGCTGGTGGTCTTAAGAGAAAGGGTTCGACTATGATACCGGAAAGACATGATACCTGAAAAACTTATAGCTAAACAACTGGTATCATAGAAGAGGTGATCAATGAGGTGGTATTCATTAAAATTCACAGGGGTGCTTTGGTTGGTCAAAGTTCTTCTGGTACCATGCCTTTCCAGTGTCATAGATTTTCCCAAAGAGAAAGTACATCTCATTGGGTGGAAGGGTAACTCTTATAATGTGATGCTAGGTAATCTTCCAGTTTACTAAATGTCAGTGTTTAAAATGCCTCAATCGGTAGTGAAAAGAATAGAAAAGGTAACAGGGGATTTTCTATGGACTCAAGGGAGAGTAAAAGAGATCACTTGATTAAGTGAGAAAAGGTGTGCAGTAGGAAGGAACAAGGTCGATTGGGGATCGAGAATGCGGACAATAAGAATGTGGATTTGCTAGGGAAATGACAATGGAAACTGCTAATTGAGAAAGCAAACTTGTGTCACAAAGTGGTGGTAAGCATTCATGAGATAAAGAAAATTGGATGGGATGCTGGACTCTCGCTCAATACTACAAATCTATTCATGGTATCCTTCTTATATTCTCTAATCTTTTAAGATATGATGTTTGTTCTAGGAATAAATTTAAAATTTGAGAGGATTTGTGGGCGGGGGAGTTACTGGGCTGAATCAAGGTTCAAAACTGTCATGTGTTGGCCAATATGTATTGTATCGATGGGTCACTGATACATAAAATAAGGGTTGTTTTGGGGTTTTGGCCTATTTCAAGGGGTAGACAGGCCTAAGACCTGCCCACTGACATGTTTCTGAAAAAAAAACTAAAAAAATAAGTGGTGCAAGGTTCAAACCGTCGATTCACCCCTTGCGCCATTGGGGTGTATTGATACTTTGAACCTTGGGCTGAATTGTAATATATGTATTAGGGGAGATAGCTGGTGCTCTGCTCCATTGGATTATCTTCAAAGTTGTATATTCTTGTAAATCATAATTAATGAAATGTTTCTGTTACTGATAAAAAAAAGGAGTCATAGATTCTAGTTTCAAACAAGTTATTTTCAATTCAATTTTTTCATGACATACAATATCAAAGTTATTTTTAGTCATAGATTCCAGGTTTGATCATTTTGAGTTTAATTTATTAATACTATTCAATATCCAAGTGCAATCCAAATTTGACTAGAATCTGATGGATAAGATTTTATTTGAATCTGAATATAAATGAATCAAATTTGGATCTACTTGCCAAAAAAAACATTTGGATCTACTTATATCCAATTCAATCCTATATGTTTGCAGCCCTAAATTATATATGAAAATGGGGAAGAAATAAAAGGGAAAGATATATTGTCAAGTGTATCTTACTCCATTTGGGTGTTCACCCACTACAAAAATGATGTTTATGCAAAATTAGTCTTCATATCAGGTGTATCTTATTCCTTAATTTCTAAAGACGTTGCTCATTTTGTCTCCATTGTCTTGATATGATAATCCTTCTCTTTGTTTTATTTCCCACCATACAATTCTCTTGTGTTCCCTGATGTTGCTATTGTTTGCTTTTTCAGCATGTGCTGCAACATGGTAAACCACATGAACGATCTGCTATAATTAGCAAGCTTGCAGGACAGATAGTAAAGATGAGTCAGCAGAAATTTGCTTCCAATGTTGTGGAGAAGTGCTTGACTTTTGGTGGTCCTGAAGAACGTCAACTTCTAGTGAATGAGATGCTTGGTTCAACAGATGAGAATGAACCTTTGCAGGTTTGTATTACAAAACTTGTGCATTTTAGATTCCAAGTTTGTTGACAAGTTTGGTGATGAATCTACATACATTTTGATACCTAGAAGCTTATTACATTTTAACTTTTCAAAAAATAAAAAAGATATGTGTTAACAAAGTCCCAGGTACTGGGATTTGCGAAAATACACATGTGACAGCGAAGAAACACTCAGGACAGTAAATAATGCTATCTGTGTGTGTGAATGCCTCTTTCAATCCCCTACCCTAATTTCTTGAGCACCACACAACTCATCCATGAAATGAATTTGGGTTACTCTGCAATGCCCAAATATTAATTTGATCACATTTTATGTTCTTTTATCTGCCTCCTCAGACTTCAGGTCTGTCTAGCAGTTCTTAGTGATGGCTTTTATTACAGCATATGAAAATTTAACTATTGAATTTGCATTTTTTCCATACGTCCACCTATTTTTCAATTCTGAATAATGGAGACTGAAAATGGAAACTGGCAGGCCATGATGAAAGATCCATTTGCAAACTACGTTGTCCAGAAGGTCCTTGAGACCTGTGATGACCAGAGCCGCGAGTTGATTCTCTCTCGTATTAAGGTCCATTTGAATGCCCTGAAGCGATACACATATGGTAAACATATCGTTGCCCGTGTTGAAAAGCTTATAACAGCTGGAGGTAAGAATCACGTTGTACCTTTGAATTGTTACTCAGAGTGATTATTTCATATACTGTTTATGCACCACACTGTTGCTTGCAGAAAGACGCATGGGGGTCTCAACTTCTTGATTCTCTATTGGAGAAGGGAAAAGAACACCTTTGTAGTTTGTACAGATAACAAGGCCAATGGTCATGATGGGATTCATGAACCCGAGTTTTTTATCTTCTGCAGAGCGGAGTATCAGAGACGTAGCACATTTAAATTACTAGGCTATAAATGTGTAAATAAAAATAATCTAGGGCTGCTGAAATAAGATTTTTTGCTTCTTGTCACCCTCTCTTCCCCCCAGTTGTATATTCCGCACACTGTAATTTGACAATGACGAAGAGAGGATTGTTAGGTTCCATGTTTTTAGGATATGGAGGTCAAAGGTGGGTGATCAATGGATGATCTGCCTTTGTAAGAAATGACTGTACAAAGAAAATCAGTGTAATGGTAAATGGAATTGTAAAGAAAGGGAGCAGAGTACATGCGGTCAGTTATCAGGTCTGAGACTGCGACTCTGTCAAGTTTTTACTTCTATTAAATATAAATAAACATTTTCTTATCTTCCTGTAATGTTGAGAAATTATTTGTGCATAAAACATATTACATCTTATTTGTTATTTCATCAGAAAACGCTGGTCTTCGTTAAATTCTGGTTAATTGATCCACAGAAGCAACAACCTTTTAGCTTCCCGATACTGGAAATTTCTTCAAAACCTAGGTCCCAGATTGGGTTGATTGCCCAGGATCTCATGAGAATCAGAAACTGAGCTTTCCCAATTTATAGCAGAACTAAATAATTCTGGAAAAGCTTCTTCAAGGGGTTCAGAGCTGCACCAAGGATCTTTCCAGAATAGAACCTTTTAGGGCTTTTCCAACCTCACCTTTAAAAACAATTTTTTGAATTTCATTACCCCATTCCACACGCTAATGCCATACGAATTCGAACGGGTAGCTACTGCCCATTCAGAGTCATCATTGCCATATTTGTGCCACCACTTGCGTAGCAGTCTTATTCAAATCAATTAGGTTACTAGTTCTCGTACCACCATACTCCTTCGGGGAATAGACTTTATTTCAAGAAACTCAATAGATCTTACTCAGAAAAGTAAGCTTTTAGAGACTCATTGATTAAGAGAAATTCTTGTAGATTATTTTGTGGGAAAAAGTTGTGTTTTTATCACCCTCTTTAGCCATTGCACCATTGATTTTTGCCACCAAGAATCTCTTCCATTCTAGTCAGCCTAGAGACCTCATCTTCGGCCTTATCCCAACTCAGAGAGTGAGAGTTGTTATTCCTCTTTGGCGCCCAGTTTTTTATTGGCTCCAAACATTTTCTCTTTTATGTGATAGATCCAACCCACCTCATTCTATTTTTGAAATACAAGTTTTCAACTGTTATAGCTTGTTTTCAAATCTCTCCATTCGTGATAGTTCTTCCTATCTGTTGTCGATTAAAAACTTGTTTTGCTTAGATAGTATTGGGTGCTTTCTGAAATCGTTCCATGTAAAATCAGCTCCTTGCTTCGGTAAAACATGATTTTGAGCTTCATCAAGAGCTACTAGAAAAAGTTCTGATGTAACCGTTTCTGGTCACGTACCAATTTTTTGTGATGTATAAATTTTTTGGCTAAGTACCTCGTTGTTTGACCTGGTGGTGACGTGCCTTTGTGATGAGCTACTTGGTGGTGAACTGCCCGGTGGCGAGCTCCCTGGTGGAGAGCTACTTGGTGACGAGCTGCCTGGTGGCGAACTGCCTGGTGGCAAACTGCCTGTGGCGAACTCCCTGGTGGCCAACTGCCTGGTGGCGAACTGCCTGGTGGCGAGCTGCCTGGTGGCGAGCTGCCTGGTGGCGAGCTGCTTGGTGGTGAACTCCCTGGTGGCGAACTGCCTGGTGGACTCGTCACTTGACTTGCTCCTAGGCGGCCTGCAACTCAGAGGATGGTGGAGCTCCCTGGTGCAGCGCAACCCGACTACCCTCCGCGTGAGGTGATTTTCTCTCCTTTGTAGGCGGCGGGAGCTGAGGGACCTACGAGAACTGAATCAGAGGACTCGGGGGTATTTTCCCGGTGAGGACTCTCCGATGCCTAAGTTAGCATTCTGATTACAGAGAGCTTGGAGAGAAATGAGAGAGCTAGAGAGCAGGGGTTACCATCCTTTTTCCTCTTCTTCCCCTTTGGGGGGTGAGGTCTTTATATACCGGAGTCCTCGCGGGTTAGGTGGGTCAAAAGCCTCCAAACGGTAAGACTCGTCACATCTCGTCAGAACCGGGGTACGGTGCTGAACTCCTTGAGGTCGTCAGGCTGGCGCTTGTGTCAGGCGGCTAGGTCGGCGCCTGGGCCAGGTTGTCAGGGCGGCGCTTGCTTCAGTCGGCGGGTCAGTGTTTGGGCCAGGTTGTCAGGTCGGCGCCTGTGTTAGTCGGCGGGTCGGTGTCTGGGCTAGGTTGTTAGGCAGGAGATCTTCCTGCAATACTTGGGGACGAACTGCTTAGTGGCGAGCTGCCTATGCAATGCCGAGTTGTCTAAGTTGCTAGGCTAAGGGTGAGCTGCCTATGCAATGCCGAGTTGTCTAAGTTGC